CGAGCTAATTTCATGAATGCAATATCCTTTCAATAAAGATGCACTAAATTCCAGCCTGGGCAACACAGTGAGACCACGTCTCTGTGAAAGGTAAAAAAACAAAAATCAGCCAGCCATGGTGGTTTACGCCTGTTGTCCCAGCTTGTCAGGAGGCCTCAGGAGGATGGCTTGAGCCCTGGAGGCAGAAGCTGTAGTGAGCTGAAATCGCACCACGGTACTCCAGCAGTGGGTGGGGGACAGAGGGAGGTGGCAGGGAAAGATGCACTAAATTGAAAATATCACAGAAGGTGAAGAATATCCTATGCCTCTTTTTACTGCTATTTCTGGGGTAGTTCCATGGTTCAGGTAAGAGCCTGGGAATGAGCTTTGACACTCTGGATAAACTTTGTGAATTACCCTTCCACCATTCTTTTTTTTCTCTTTGAGACAGAGTCTCGCTCTGTCACTGGGCTGGAGTGCAGTGGCCAATCTCAACTCACTGCAGCCTCTGTCTCCGAGGTTCAAGTGATTCTCCTGCCTCAGCCTCCCGAGCAGCTGAGATTACAGGCACATGCCACCTTGCCCGGCTAAGTTTGTATTTTTAGTAGAGACGGGGTTTCACCATGTTGGCCAGGCTGGTCTTGAACTGCTAACCTCAAGTGATCTGCCTGCCTTAGCCTCCCAAAGTGCTGGGATTTCAGGCATGAGCCACTGCTCTTGTCCCCTTCCACCATTTTTTCTACCACTACATGCCACCCAGGGCTTTTCCTTAACTGCAATGTGCCACCTAATCTACATCCATCCAGACTCTCACTCTACCTTGATCTTTCATTGTTTTAGCGCATCCAACAAGAAAATGTCTCTATGTATAAAATGCGTTGTCTTCTCAAATAGATTGTTAGCCCATTGAGGACAATGGGCAACCCATTTTGTCTTTTACTTCTGTGTATTTCTAAGGTCCATAAAAATGCAATATAGGGAAGATGTCAATAAAGTATTTCTCGATGAAATACCACTTTACTCTTAAAAGGTCATTTCTGGCGTTCAGTTCAATTCTAGCTGGATCCCCATATGAGTCAAAGAAAACAGGAATATGACACTAAAATTATATCAATTTATTTATTTTTTTTTTTCTTGAGACAGGGTCTCCCTCTGTCACCCAGGCTGGGGTGAAATGGCGCTGTACCGGCTCATTGCAACCTATGCCTCCCCGGTTCAAGTGCTCTGCCTTCCTCAGCCTCTCAAAGAGCTGGGATTACAGGCGTGAGCCACTGTGCACCCTGTTTAATTTTTTATCTACTATTATTTTTCACAGTAGGGGTCTCACTCTGTCGCCTAAGCTGGAGTGCAGTGGTGAGATCATAGCTCACCGCAGCCTCGAAGTCCTTGGTTCAAAGGATCTTTTCACCTCAGCCTCTGGAGTTACTGGAACTACAGGCATGTGCCACTGGCCTGACTTAGACAATTTTTAAAAATTAGACTGGGTGTGGTGGCTCATGCCTGTTAATTCCAGCACTTTGGGAGGTCAAGGCAGGAAAATCATTTGAGGCCAGGAGTTTGTGACCAGCCTGGGCAATACAGTGAGACCTAGTCTCTGTAAGAAAAAAAAAAAAATTGTTTAATTAGCAGGGCGTAGTGGCAGGCACATTAGTCCTAGCTACTTGGGGGCCTGAGGTGGGATGAACACTTGAGCCCAGGAATTCGAGGCTGCAGTGAACCGTAATCATGCCACTGCACTCCAGCCTGGGGGACAGAGGGAGACCCTGTCTCTAAATAAATAAATAAAATTGCAGTTGGCAGTGAGGAAAGGCGTCTGCTTTAGATTGCACTTTATCAGATTTAAATACAATGACAATGAATTACTCTTTCTACAGAGTAAGAGCTTTTGGGGTTTTTTAATTGATGAATACTAGATGTACATACTTTCAAGGTGCATGTGATAATTTAATACATTCATATAATTTATAAATATCAAAACGGTGAATTTGGGATATCCATCACCTTAAATATTTCTCTTTTCTTTAAAATAGAATCATTTGAATTCTCCTCTAGCTATTTTGAAATGTATAATAGATATTGTAAACTGTGGTCACCTACCGATCCATCTAACAGGTCTTATTTCTTCTATCAAACCATATATTTGTACTCGTTAATCTACTTCTCTTCATCCCCCCACCCCTTCCCCTCTCAACCTCTGCTAACAACTGATCTACTCTCTATCTTCGTGAGATCCTTTTTTCTTTTGTTTTGTTTTGTTTTTTGAGATGGAGTCTTGCTCTTGTCACCCAGACTGGAGTGCAATGGCAAGATCTCAGCTCACTGCAACCTCTGCCTCCTGGGTTCAAGTGATTCTCCTGCCTCAGCCTCCCCAGTAGCTGGGATTTACAGGCACCCACCACCACGCCCGGCTAATTTTTTGTATTTTTAGTACAGACAGGGTTTCACTATCTTGGCCAGGTTGGTCTTGAACTCCTGACCTCAGGTGATCCACCCGCCTCAGCCTCCCAAAGGGCTGGGATTACAGGCGTGAGCCACTGCACCTGGCCGAAATCTACTTTTTAAGTTCCCACGTGAGTGAGAATATCCAAGTTTTGTCTTTCTGTGCTTGACTTATTTCACATAACATAATGACCTCCAGTTCCATCCATGTTGCTACAAATGACAAGATTTTTTTTTTTAAATGGCTGAATAATATTCCATTGTATATATGTAACTTATTTTCTTTAATATCCAAATACATATGAGAAAAATGTAGGTGAAGCTTTTGGAACCTCAAAAGTCTTGATCCTCAATCTGTGACTTACTTCCAGTGTAATCTTTTTTTTTGGAGGGGGGGTAACCCTTTTATTTCTTCAATTTTGTCAAAGGGCCAGGCATGGTGGCTCATACCTGTAATCCCAGCACTTTGGGAGGCCGAGGCAGCCTGATGCAAGAGAATCTCCTGATCTAGAAAGGCGGAGGTTGCAGTGAGCCGGGATTGTGCCACTGTCCTCCAACCTGGGCCACAGAGCGAGATTTGGTCTCAAAAGAAAAAAACGAAAACTTTAGAAGTTTATCTTTGTTGTGCTTATTTAATATGTTATTTATATCTATGGGATTCTTCATATTGCAACTGAGGAACAAACCGTTCAAATTGAGCTATTCAAGCACAAAACAAGGCGAGGTAGAAAGCGGTAGCCAACGCATCGGGAAAATTCTTTACGTTCTTGTCTGAAGCAATGGCAAATTATTCTTATCAAAAAAAAAATATTTTTTAGTAAGAATAAGTAGAACTATTTTTTTTTTTTTTCGAGACAGAGTCTCGCTCTGTCCGGCAAGACATGCTGGCCGGTCAGCGTCACTGGGCAACTCCGCCTCCGGCGGTTACGCCTATTCTCTGCTCAGCCTCCCCGAGTCGAGCTGGGACTCAGCGCCACACGGCCGCGGCACACACGCGGCCATCGCCGGCCTAGTTTCGTTTTGGTATTTTTAAGTAGAGACCGGGTTCACCCCATGTTGGCCGCAAGGCAGGTCCTTGATCTCCCTGACCTTAGTGATCCGCCCCGTCCTGCGGCTCCCCCAAGTGGCTGGGATTACAGGCCTTGAGCCACCCGCGCCCGGCCCGCAGTGAGCGACGAACTATTTTGCTTAGCTTTTCCATGTCTTGCAGCCACACATGTATTTGGGGAAACAATACCTCCTGAAGCTTAAGACATCTTTACGTCTCGACTGTATTCCACCTTTTGAGTGTTATTATCATTCTTATTAAACAACAACTTCCTTGGTTGCACGAATCAAAAATACAGTTATCCGCCCTTTTAACACTTTTTTTTTTGAGATTGGAGTCTTGCTCCTGTTGCCCATTGCTGCGAAGTCAAGGGGTTCAGCTGATTTTTCCTGGCCTCAAAAGCTTGCTCAAAGGATACTGGGACTACAACAAAGCACAATGCCCGAACGTGACGCTCCGCGCCTGAAAAAAAAAATTCTTTGGCATCTTTTTAGTAGAAACGAGAAGGCTTTTCAACCCCCCAGTCTGGCCAAGGCGGTCTTGAAGGTCGCCTGACCTTACATGAATCTGCCCACTTTGCGCCCTCCCGCGCAAAAACAGTGCTCGGGATTACACAGCATGGGCCCAACCGTGCTGCCCTAACTCGAATTTTAAAGGAAAAGGACAGTAAATGAGTCATTTGATTTGGAATTCCTAAAAAATGGTCCTCCCCTTGCAAAGGGAGCTGTAACAATTGCTGATCCATGTTTGTTAGTAGCAAATTGAGAGTAAATAAAAAAAAAGAGGTTCCAAAACAACAGAAGAACCAGATTTCAATGGGCTCCGACGTTACGAGAAGACATAAAAAAGAAACCCCATCTGAAGCAGGCCTGTGACGATTAAAATGAAAAAAATCTTGGAAGAGATCCCACCGTCCGGTGGCTCATGGCTTGTAATTCCCAGCAGTTCGGTGAAGGCCGCAGGCGTGGGCGGAATGCATGATGCAAAAGGAAAGGAGGGCCAATCCGGCCCTAACCACGGTGAGAACCCTTCTCTTACCTAAAAAAATTACAAAACTAGCTGTTGGCAGGTGCTAGTACTCACTGCCTCCAGGAGGGAGCTGAGGCCAGACAATCTTTGAAGCCGCAGGCCAGGAGCGGCGAGTTGCAGTGAGCCCGACGAATCGCACCACTATCCCACAGCCCCTGGCGACCAAAGCCGAGACTGCCCGTCTCAAAACAAAAAAAAGGTATGTTTATGAGCGCTCTCCAATTTCTTTCTTTCTTTTCTTTTTTTTTTGAGAGCCAGAGTCCCCTTTGTCAGTCCAGCGCGCTGGAAGTGCAGTGTACCGATCTCGGCTCAGGCTGCAAGCCTCCACTCGGCTGTGATCAAACCGCCATTTGTCCTGCCCCCTTCCCAGCCCTCCCCGAGGCAGCTGGGATTACAGGCATGCGCCACCATGCCCTGCTCATTTTTATATTTTTAGTAAGAGATGGGGTTTAGCCATGTTGGCCAGGCTGGTCTCGAACGCCTGACCTCAGGTCATGCACCCGTCTTGGCCTCCCACAGTGCTGTGATTACAGGTGTGAGCCACCACGCCCAGGCTAAACTAACCTTTTACAGAGATCTAATCTTCCATCTCATTTTTGTGCTTAGACTTTTGAAATCTTTTTATTCAAGAAATCCAGGAGCCCTGAGGGAAAAAAATGACAATGTGCTTTTATTTTTTTTCTTGTTAAAAAAATACAACATTGGTAATCGTTTTCATTAAATAGACCTTTGTGACTTTACTGATTTACATGAGTGGTGCTAAATTACATGATTTATAAGGCTTGACACAGGAAGGATGCACTGAGGTATATGGGAAGAAAAGGGATATGAATACTAGAGAAATGTTAAATCAATAACTAAGGCACACTTTCGGATGTGAATCATAAATCTACCACTGTGGCGAGAACAGCCTATACGTACGTGTATTCGAAAGACATGATCAGTTGCTGGTAAAAGCGGAGAAGGCCTGGGCTTCTGCCAGTCCCCTGGTACTTCCCACACCACTTCAGAGAAAAAGCGTCATGGCACAAGAACGGTAGACGGTAGAGGCCCCCAGCACTGAGTCAGGGGAAGCTACATGGTTTGCTGTTTAGTTATGCTTCCAGTACTTGGTTTAATTTCACAGTGAGGGAGTTGGTTGGTGATCTCTAAGAAATCCCCAAGCACCTGGTGTTGGGAAGGTCCCTCAAATAAAGAGGTGTTCTTTTCTTTTCTTTTTTGTCTCTCTCTCTCTCTTATTTATTTATTTTTTGAGACGGAGTCTTGCTCTGTTGCCCAGGCTGAAGGGCAGTGGCAGGATCTCAGCTCACTGCAACCTCCACCTCCCGGGTTCAAGCGATTCTCCTGCTTCAGCCTCCCGAGTAGCTGGGATTACAGGCGCGCACCACCATGCCCAGCTAATTTTTGTATTTTTAGTAGAGACAGGGTTTCATTATGTTTTGTCAGGCTGGTCTCGAACTCCCAACCTCAGGTGATCCACCCACCTCAGCCTCCCAAAGTGCTGAGATTACAGGCGTGAGCTGCGGCGCCCGGCCAGGAAATGTTCTTTAAGCACCACAAATAAACATACTGTACCAGGGACTTGTAGGGGCAAGACTGATTAACCAGGGGCTGAAATCCCCATATCAGAAACCCAAGACAGTTAAAAATAGTAAAATATCACTGTAAGAACAATTCAAAGAAAAACAAGTTTACAGCAAAACAGACTACAAATCAATTTCATCATAACTAAAACTCCTTAATTTAAAAATACAGTACTAGAAGATCATCCACCCAGGGATTTGTATTTAGTAGGACCTAGATTTGCTAGTATTGGGGAGACACTTCATACAGTGGCTGGAAAGCAGCACCACAGATTATATAAAATGAAAATATTAGTACTGCCACAGGACTTTAAAAAAGGAGGGGGAAAATTAATGGAAGTGACATGCATCAAACAAATCAAGAGGCAGTGTTGAGGTCATCTCCACGGAGCTGTAAACTCAGAAGTGTTTCCTGGTCACATGTGGTCAATTAAGGTCAAGTCTGAAATCATCTAGATAATTACCTAGTTTTCCAGCTCATTCAGAGCTAAAATTCATAACACTATCATACTTTCCTTTGATTTTCTGAGATGGAGTCTTGCTGTGTCGCCCAGGCTAGAGTACAGTGGTACCATCTCAGCTCACTGCAACCTCTGCCTCCCAGGTTCAAGCAATTCTCCTGCCTCAGCCTCCGGAATAGCTGAGATTACAGGCACGCGCCACCACCCCCAACTAATTTTTGTATTTTTAGTAGAAACGGGGTTTCACCATGTTGGCCAGGCTGGTCTTGAACTCCTGACCTCAGGTGATCCAGCAGCCTCGGCCTCCCAAAGTGCTGGGATTACAGGTGTGAGCCACCGCAGCTGGCCATCACACTTTCTCTTTCTGTTACTGTTTTTCTTTTGTTGTTTTCCTAGTTCTACCATCACACTTTCAAGGATAAATTTGCTGGTTGCATTCACATACTCATAACCAGTTCCCCTGATTATTCCACCTATTCCAGATTAAATAATGTATATCAATCCCAACATCTTAGAGGAATACAGTCTTTTCATGTTACCCAACAGAGGGGGAGAGAGAGTGGAGGAAGGAGGCCTCTTTTAATGACCCCTTTTTTTTTTTTTTTTTTGAGATGCAGTCCCTGCTCCTTCCCCAGGGCTGGAGGCAATGTATGAATCCTGGCTAACTGGCCCTCTGCCTCCAGGTTCCAAGTGGATTTCATCCTGCCTCAGCCCTCCCGAAGAAGCTGG